TAATCAAAATAAATACAGCATTCCTAATTTTCATGTTCCGTTTGCAAAATATTCGATTTCCACCCAAAACTRTCCTCTCTACCTATTAACAGGTACCTTAATGAATTTTCTTGGTTAAATCTGTTCCTGACTTTACCTGCAAACACATTTTAATGTTGTGGCATATATGAAAACCCCAGCTTGATTATTTCATAAATGTCATATGAAACAAAAACCTTCAGAGTAATTTCTACTTGCAACGCTTTTTAGTAGAAAATGCTTCCAGAGCAGAGKTGGGCCATCCTGGTCTAGAGGGCCACTATTCTGCATGTTTTACTTGTTTCTCTGCTCCAGCACACCTAGTTTGAATGAATGGGTAACAAGCTTCTGCAGAACGAAAAGCTAATTCAGTCACTCAGAATCAGGTGTGTTGGAGCAGGGAAATGGATAAAACATGCAGGAGGGCGGCCCTCGATGATCAGTATTGCACACAATTGCTCCAGAGAGATAGCAAGTTAAAGATTTATACTTTCTAGGAAAAAAAAACACTCTCATGAAGACACTTGTTTAAAACAATGTGCTGTTTGTTGTCACAGTTCTGACTAAAACCAGAAACGTATCTGAAAGTTACARTTTGTTCCCTCCAAAGACCTATTTATTTACATTGGCATTAAGAATAAAACTTAAATCTGAGTAAAGTTCATCAGCTTGTGCATCTGTCATCACAACTATTGCTTTATGAAAAAAAAATCTGCAGATTCTTGTTAAAGAGCTTCATTATTTCTGTAATGTCATCTTTTCATTGCTTAACCATGTTTTATTTGTTCTTCAGTTTGATAACAAAAYTTCAATCATACTTTTTATTTTCTTTGCTCCGTGTTTTAGATGATCACATACTGTTAAAAACACATTTAACAGGGTTATAGTGTTGGGTCATTATTGAGATTAATTTTTCTGTTGAGATTAATTTTTCTTACAAAAATAAAGAAAAAAACACATTTTTAGCAGGGGAAGGTGAACACATCATTTTTTGCCTCGTAGCTTTGTATTTCTTGAGACRCACAAAAATATTACTTTGCTGAGTTTTGTTGGTGACTGAGTCRCAATTAAAAAAAGACTGCATTATTTGAAAGAGCTTTTTCCTCACCTGCTTTATAAGCTAACAGGCTAATCAAGACTAAATGGCTTTTTACAAGCTCAGTACTAATAGTTGGAGAGGGTAAAGCAGTTTATAGGGCTCAATGATGGCACGTCAGGCCAGCTCTTTATAGACATGGGATGATGGTGGTGTTACAGGGGGAGTTTGTGCAGGTTGACTTTTTTCAGTGATCAATGAGAGGAGGCATTTTTATCCTTGTCCTGTCAACATTAAACTTGTGYGCTGAAATAATTTATAATCGAAAAGAAGCTATAACCCAGGGGTTGTCAAACCTGATATTTCTAAGGTCCAWATCTGAGTTCTAAAGGTCAAAGGTCTGCACAACTTGCAATAAGGAAATCCTTTTTATTAAATTTGCTTAAAACTTAAAAAAATAATTATATTACTTTCCTATAGTTGTTTGCTTTCGAACCTAACCTGTTGTAACTTTTATTTTAGCATTTTTGTTAGAATAATGTAGATGGGGGCTTTTGTATAAAGAATATTTATAGTATTATACTATTATAACTAATAGTATAACTAATACTTACTATATCATTAATAAAATATTTCTTGTTGTTTTTCATCTGTAACTGTTTACCAAATCTGTTTGAGGATGTTCCAAATTCAGCCATGTCTTAAGCCACACACACAGCCACTTATTGCTCTTTTTTTACTTCCTCCTTTCTCAATTCTTGTCCTTCCTCACCCAGATCAATACTATAGATCAGCAAGCTACCCGGCTGCAAAATGACCACATCACCATAAATACACACACACGTTTGCACGCACGACTGTTACATCTTACTAGTGAAGAAAAAAAATGTCTATAATAAACATCAGCTGGCTTGTGTGTGGTCTCATCTCCCTGCACAGAATTATCATCAGCGTTGTGGTCTGTACATGTCTGTATTGATTTAGTTATGGCTGCTTCATATGCTGCTGAACATTGTTAAATGCACATTTTCAGTTATGCTACCGATTCATCAGAGGTTGCTCAAAAGCAGTAGAAAAGTTGACTGAGTGTAATGCAAGACATCAAGAGAAGTCAGAGTCTGAACATGATGCTGTGAAAAATGCAGAGGCAGGGAAATTATTATTGTGCATATAAATAAATAAAACATTGAATATTGTATTTTTTATGTAAGACAGGTTAAGATTTGTAGTACCCATTTATATGATCTGCTCCAGACCAGCATTTTCCACTAGCCACAGTGTTGCTGTGTCTGCTGTTCAAAGTTGTGAGTCAGCTGAAGGAGATGAACATCCTACTGATATTTACACAAATAAATGACTAATTGATGGACTCAATACATGTCTATTTTTTGACTTCCCTACTACCTACAGCCTCAGAAAAGCAACATCAGACAGATCTAATATTTTATTAAGACTTCATTGAAATAATAAATTCTTTGAGTTGATGCAGTTGAGCTAGATTTTCCAGTGTGAAAAAGCAAAAACATTTGAAAAGCCTTGCATTACTTGTTTTACTTGGTCAACCAAGTAAGCAGTATTTTTTCTCGTTACCTAATATTGCTAAGTACATTATCTTTCTTTTACTTTCACATGTATACTTTTGCTTTTTATCCCATTAGAATTACTCAAGTGTGAAGCTGAATTACCTTTTTATTAAAATTGTTTTAGTAAAGTGGAGATAAAGTAATCTATTGTCATCCCTATGGTAGAAATGTAGGTATAGTCATCTTAACATATTCATATGTGTAGATACCTATTTTTCTATTAAGGAAATGTAAATTAAACAGTTGATATTTTTAATCATGAGAGTTTTTCTTTCTGGCAAAATCTTTGAAATGGACAGATATAAAGACCAGAGAAATGTTTCTTATTTTGATCTGGCTTGGGTGGGAATTAATTGGTATTTTTATTGTAGATTAACTTCATTAATGCAGCCTAAGCATAAACAAAATTTCTTTTGTTCTAGGGTGACTGAGGAAGAATCAACAGCAACCACTATGGAGGCTCTGAAAGCCCGAATCAGGGAGCTAGAGAAGCAGATACTTCGAGGAGACAGATACAAGTGTCTCATCTGCATGGTGAGTATTTTTTTGGCTTTCATATAGCCATCCATACAGCCATCCTCTATCGCTTATGTGTGGTTGAGTTTCTGGGGCAACAGGTCCAGGAGGGAACTCCAGACATCTGTCCTCCCTACAACACTGTCCAGTATCTCCAGGGGCATCTCAAGGCATTTTTAGACCACAGCGAGTTCTTGGTCTGCCCTGGGGTCTCCTTTTAGTTGGTTCCCAGAAAACTTCCTAAGAGAGGCATCCAGAAGTCATCCTAATCAAATGCTTAAACCACCTCAGCTGACTTCTTTCAATACGAAGGAGCAGTGGCTTTAATCCAAGCTCCCCCTGGATAGTGGAGGTCCGCAGCCTATATCTATGGCTGAGCCTGGCCATCCTAAAAAGGAAGCTTATTTCGACCTCTTGTATCTGAGATCTCATTCTTTTGGCTATGATCTATACCTCGTGAATATAAGTGAGGGTTGGACATAGACAGACCAACAGTATGCTTTGCCTTTTGGACTTCACTCTTTCTTCACCACAACAGAACAAAGCCCCACACTCTGTACTGAGGACTTCAAGATACTTAAACTCCTCTGCYTGWGGCAGAGATTCAACCCTGAACCAGAGGGAGGATTCTACTTTTTCTGGTTGTAAACCATGGCATCTGACTCTCATCCCAGCCACTTCACACTCACTGAAAACTACCCCAGTGCTGGAGGTTGAATGAATGCTTTTGAAGGTTTTGGCTCTAAGACACCAACAGAACTTTATCATCTGCAAAAAGCAGACAAGAAACTCTGAGATTCCCAAACCAGTCAACCTCCTCTCCTGTTCATGAACACCATAAACAGGTTTGGAAACAAGGGCAGGATCCTGACCCAGCTCCTAATATGGTAATACAGGAACCAAAGAGCTTTTAAAAGTGACCGCTGCATCTCGTATTCCCACAGCACTCGCCACAGAATGCCTCAGGGAACACAGTTATAAGCCTTCTTGAGAGCCACCAAACGTAGACCAGAGAATTGAACTTCTGTGACCCCATTTGGTGTTCCAGAGAACTGTGGGTGAAGGTCTGGTCCACTAGCCACAACAACAATGAAAGCCATTTCTCCATTTGAATCCAAAGTTTGGGAACCGCTACCCAGGTCTGCCACTCCACAGGAGTGTCCCAGTCCTCCATATGACATTGAAAAGGCATAGCTTCTGGCCCTCGAGGTCCGCAGCCCTGCATGTTTTACTATTTTCCCTCCTCCAACTCACCTGATTCTGTCAGTGAATTACCTCTTCCATGTTCTGCAGAAGCCTGAAAATCATCCATTCATTCAAATCAGGTGTGTCAGGGAAGAGAAACAAGTAAAATGTGCAGGGCTGCGTACCTCAAGGACCATAACTGACTCTCTCTGGATAGTTTCATAGACTTTATTGCCATGAACATGTGGAACCATGATTTGAAAATGTTTACAACATGTGTGTATGTTCTACAACATATTAGATACTGGTGCTGCTTACATGTGGTGCATGTCGGACATATGGGCATATCGCATTATCATTTTTTATTTTGTAGGAGCTCATGCTGCTTTTGTGACTTGATKGTTGTTGCTTTTGCATGGCTTTCCAAATTCTGCTGGTATGTGTTCTGCTGCATAATTCATGGCTTTATTCTACTATCTAAACTAAGGACGTCATGTGTGGATGAACACACAATAAGATTAGACTTATCATTTTGACTCTTGAGGGCGTGGTGGCAGTCWTACTTGAGAAAGAAATGATTAAAGTATTGTGTTCTGATTGGAATCTCAGATTGTGTCTCATGTCTTGGAAATTATCAAGCAGGAAAAGGAAACCCCAGGATTGAGTCATTTTAAGCAGTTTATTTGCAGATGCAATAATGTCTGACACAACACTAGAAGAGATGATTAATAATTATTTTCCTGGTGTGACTGCTCTGTTTTTGTAAAGGCAACATGGCAGCAGATTGCTAAATTTTCTCTCTTATTTTTATTCAGAGATTCAAATGCCACTAGCTTTTGTAAATAGTTCAGATTAAATGGGTAATGCAAAYGCTGCTGGTTTTAATGAGTCACATGCTGTTTGTCTACCAGGTGATAACATAAATAAGGGAGGGTTTAATTTAAAAGTGGAAACATTGTGATTGTCCAAAAATATGTTGTGTTTTTGTCAGTCAAGTTGGAGGTGCAAAGTTCACTTTGTGAAAACTTTGTACATTAGTTAGATGCACAAAATCCAAAATAGAGTTCACAAAAATCATGCAGACTGTTAGTGAATCTCGGTCTGTTTTACCCAAATTAGTTCACAATGTGTTGATTTTAATTTATTCCTAATGCCGTTTCAAATGATCTCTGTTGTCTTAGTTCACGTATAAAGCTTCTTCCACATCTGAAAGRATCCCCCATCTGTGTTTGTGTTCCCTTCTTTATGTCATCCTGTCATTCAAGCCTTTGGTCAGTGCTGCATTGGCATTCTGTGTGTGTGCGCGCGTGTAAAGCAGGTAATTACCAACGCCTGCTCTTCCTAAAGGTCGCTCAGTGCCTGAGGTGACACGGAGGGCAAGGCACAGCGATCGATCACTCACTGCCCCTTGGACACACGGCTCCTCTCCGCTCATCTGTCACTGTCCTTTATCTCTCGCACACACCGAGGCACTCAGAGAGACGCAAATGTGTGCACACATTCGGACGTCTTCTGTCTAATCTGTCTGTCTTTAAGTTGTCTCTGTGCTCTGGCACTGTTACGTCGTCTAATCAGAAGCCAACAGGTTACTCCCTCTTGTGGGCAGAAAGGAGAGCAGAGATGCAGATTCAAGCACAAATTATTTTTAATTGTGCCTCTTAAATTATTGAATCATACACCACTGAAACGCACATGATTTAAACAAAGTTAAGTCGAGCTCTTCCTTTCCCTTGCCTGTTTGTTGCTTTACTTCAACTTCATATTCTCTGTGCATTTCTACCACCATCTGCAGGTCATTTTAGGAAAGGATTTTTTTTATGTTAAGAGTTCTACATGTGTTACTTAATGTAAAACATAATTTCTACATTTTTTAAACTTTAGCTCATCAAAGAAAAAAATGCACATAATTAGTGCAAAAATAACTCTTATTTTAAATTATAGACTGTTGTCCAAATTCATGAAATAGTAATCTAACTTCACTGAATTAGCAGATAATTTAAAGTTTTCTTTTTTATGTAAAATCTGACAAGTTAAAAACAACAAGTGCAGTAATTCACCTCATTTCATTTGATTTAAATTTTAGCCACAGAGAAAAACCTAGTTAATAAAATTGTGTAGCGTTTTTTTTTTTTTTTTCAACAGTGGTTCTCGATGGTGCGTGACATAATTAAATCAATTCATTTTTTTAGATTTGCCACAGTTCTCATAATGTTAGATCATAACATGATCATACATTTCTCTAGCATAATTTCAAACGTGGCCTACAAGAATATTGTGTCTTGGTTGTTCACCGGGCTCATTTTAGTCCATTTTTATGTGAGGAATATTAACCAACATTAGCATCCTGATTTTTTTTTAAATTGTTTTATTTGAGTCATTTGCCATCGTATCTGAATGGGACAAATTTGTCTTATTGCTTTAAAGCTATCGATCTTGTAGTGGTCACTGTTGGACACCTCTGCGTCTTTTTGTGTGGCCCCATGTGTTGTTTGTCCACGTGTGTGTTTGTCACACTTTAGTGTTTGCAATTCGTATGGCTCTATTATTAGTTGCCACCTTTCACCCCTCCCTCTCCTTTCCCAACCTCACCTTCCCTCCTTCCGCAGAGAAAGCCTGCTATCCAGTCAGGCGCGGAGATCAGGAGCATAGGGGTGTGGCCGGGGTCACGGCCACTGGCCAAAGAGGTCGGAGAGCGGCAACCTAAGTCCCTCCCCCTCGGCCTGTACTGCCTATACAGGGGCCTTGTGATTGGTGGCTACAGCAGCAGCATAAAGAGRCTCCTCCCACAGCCCTTACGGAGGGTAAGGCACTCCCTCCCTCCGTCTCACACCTGTCCTCATCCCCTTATCACACCCATTCCTCTGTCATATATCGTTTTATTTTGAAAAAGAAAAGTGCGCTCTATCATGGCTTTGTACCGCATCTTCCCTGTGCTTGCTTCCTTCCATTTTTAGTCATTGCCTGCCTGATTTCGTGTCAGTGTGTTTGGCGTGCAGGTTGCCGGTTCAGTGACACCCCCTTGTGCTTGCCTTGCTCAGTGGTTTTTACCTTTTCTGGCTGTGTCGTTCCACGGATAGTGGTCTGATGTTGTTGGTTGGTCAGGAAACGTACATTCTGTTTTTGTTTTTTTATTACTGACTTGGATGCAAACTTGGTATAATTTATGTTTTTTTCTTTCTTTCTCATTTTAGGACTCCTACACAATGCCGCTCACCTCCATCCAGTGTTGGCACGTTCATTGTGAAGAGTGCTGGCTCAGGACTCTGGTACGCCTGAACACACACACACACACACACACAGACAGACAGACACACACACACACACGTTTGCACAGCTATCCATTTGGGGACATTCCATTGACTTCCATTACATTTCTACAGCCTAACCCTGACCACAAACCCTAAGGCTAACCTCACAGGTACCTACCTGACCCTAAAACTAACCTAAACTCAATTCACACCWTGGTCCTAAACCCCAACCCCCAACCCACCAATGGCATTTAAACCAAATGGGAACTTGACTTTTGTCCCCAAATGCACAAATTGTCCCCAAAWGTAGGCATTTTGTCTTAAAATTGCCCCCAAATGTCACCAGAAACAACCCCCCCACACACACACACGCACACCACCGCTGCGCTCACACACGCGCACTCTGACTGCTCTTTTCTGCAGGGCAGCTCTTCATGATACGCAGTTATTGCAGCCTCATTTCATAGTCAGTGAGTTTCTCTCTGCTCTCGTGCCCAACAGGGAGAAACTAAAATGGAATATTTCCCAAATGACCTGTTCTCTTATTGCACACACAATCCAGGCAGTGCAAACACTTTTAGTCTCAGTAGGGGAAGAGCTTAGATGGAATGGCCCCCAAAAGGCTTGTTAACATGTTGGAATAAAGTAGTCAACTCTAACCTCGACTGTTTTCTCTGCGTGCACACACCTCTGTAATTTTCTTGGTTATTAGTTAGTCTAATATATTCAGTTGAGTGTAATTAGCTGGTACTAATGTGGTAAATGAAGCATAAAAGGCAACAGTGTTTTTTAAGCTGGGGGGATAAACAGTCCTCTCATTGTCCCTCTTCCTTTTTTCTTTGTTATTATCTCCCCTCATCAGAAAATTCCTCCCTACTGTCAATTTTCTTGTCTCACCTCACTTTAGGTTCCTGTTTAAACAAAGGTTAAAATAATCTTACATTGTATAGTGTTCTCTCATGAAGTTGTATTTTGCATGTACACAATATATTTCTCTATGTATGAAAACATTTGGGTAGCGACTGGCAGAAATAAGTTCTCAGATGTTGTCGTTAGGAGTTGATTCTTGATTAATCTATTGGAGTAAAAATAATTTTCAATTATATATCTGTGTGTGTGTGTGCACAGACGTGCATGTTACCATCACAGGTTTAATTTATGCAACATTAAACTCATAGTCTGGAGAAAGCTATAAAAATAGGAAGGTCAGGCTGATCAAAGTAAACACCAACCCCCCTCATTCACTCACATCCCCTGCCTTCCTACTGCTGTAATGAGCACCGCAGCTGGAGCGCAGCATGTCAGGCACACACCTGTGCATGCTTACAGCAGTGCTAAACGTTGACAGGCTTGTAAGTAAATAAGGAACAYGCTCCATTAAGACTGCTACGCACCTCTCGAGACGTAAAACAGCTGTTCTTATTCATGTGGTTGTGAGACGTTCTGTTCCACRTGGACGTGTTTTGATYTAAAGAGAAACTGTAGTACAGAACTCCTGCTAAGCCCTCCCACTGCAGCWCACGTCACTGACRCATTTCTGTCAAAGTCGCAATTTTACAGAATACTGTAATGTTACACTGATCAGCCATAATAATATGACCACTGAYGCATAAAGTRAAACTTTTTRTCTTGGRTGAAGTGCRRTGATTCATCAATAAAACCAACATCCTTGCATTTGTGTAGTTTTTGTACTTTCCATCTACATGAATAGTTTTAAGGCCTATCATGCTCCCCACATAGCAATACACTCCCCACCCAGCTCCAGCTAGACAGCAGTGGGCCCTGCTGGAAATCCAGTGAAATCAAGCACCATCAACAGAGACTACTAGGCTCCTATAAAATCCAGGGCTCTAGACCAGGGKTGGGCAATCCTGGTCCTCGAGGKCCGCAGCCCAGCAGGTTTTATGATTCTCCCTGCTCCAACACACCTGATTCAGACATTGAATTACCGAGTTCTGCAGTATGGAGGACTGACACTGACATAACTAGAAAAGAAAAGTAGAAATATATAAATGGACCAATAAATAAATTAAATTAAAAATGTGCCAATTAAATTTTAAAAGGAGAGCTTAACCTCACGTTTTATAATTTAATTGACCTTCATATTTATTTTTTCCAACTTAGTTCCAACTAATAATATATTTTTGCACATGATTTACATTTTACTGTTTTTACTGTTTTCACTATTTTTAATATATAATTATAAATACTATATAATTATATATACTATATAATTGTTTTATAATATATAATTATAAATACTATATAATTATAACATAATACATAATTTTATTATATATATTAGATGCACTGGTGCAACCAGTGCAAAAAGTTAGTCTAGAGCCCTTAAATCTGTTATTTTTTCCCATCAGTGTGTGAATGTCTGAAGTGTAAAGTGCTTTGGAGTCCATGTGGACTTGATAAGGAAAGTTCAAGTTCAAGCCATATTTAACCATTTCTCAAAATCCCTTTATTTTTTTTTTTTTCAAATTCCACTGTTCTGAATTCCACATTTTTATTCTAACCATATTTATTAACCTAAAAGTGTGTAATTCTGAAATGACTGAAAAATAACTTGACATTAATGGCTGTTATTTCACTTTTACGAAAATGACAAGTTGTTATGCTTAAGCAAATTAAATGCTTTTGCAAGGTATTTAAAAGTGTTTACAGTACTTGTTTTTTTTTTATGAACAAAAAACATTCTTCATGAGTAAAACAGAATCTCACATATCTCACATTAAAAAAGGTATCTTTAAAATAAAAATGCTTTAGGGTTTGACTTAACATTAAATAAGTCTCATAAAGAAACAAAACCTACAAACAGTAAAAAAAAAATTTCACACTTGCCTATTGATTAGGATCTAAGTTAATTTTTACTTCTGCACCAATCAGTTTAAAGAACATTATCTCATATTTTATAATTTAATTAGCCTTTGTTTTCTACAAATAAATTTAACCTTAACTGTTTTCATTGGTTACTCTTGTTGATCTTAGTCATTTTAATAAAGTAGTATACAGGGATGCTCTTGATTTTTTTAACACTTCCTTTTTCCTTATTTAAATACATTTTCCCCCTTTCTGCTTTAACTGAAAACATGTCTTAGTAATAAGAATAAATTAAATGAGATCACCAGTTTGTATGATTTCCACTGCTTGTTAACTCCAGATGTACTACATTTRTGTACTTTCATTTTTGGCTGCAAATATTCTATAAACACTGCACTTCAATAGCTAATAGAAAGAATGCACCAGCAGCCAGCAGTTCCCACCCAGCAGAGAACAAACGGGCCGGTAGGAAGGTAAAGACAGTGTTTGAGACCACCCAGTCACAGTCTTGTAATGCTGTTAGCCCTGTGTAGCATATTATCACCTGCTGCTTTACTGCAKATGGCATACTATCAAAGCAGCACACAGAGAAGAGCTGCTGCCAACAGGCAGATTTACACACATTCTTGGAGGAAATTAGTGATTTGCTACAAGTTTTTTGTCCCGTCTGTTGAAGCTTTTTCACATATTACAAACATTTATAAATAATTTGGTGAGTTCTTTACATCAACAAACATTCTCATGAACTTAGCCTTAGATAGACTTTTCTAAACTTTTGTTGGTTTTCATTATAGGTGTTTTTTTTTTTTTGCTATTTATTCACAGATAATTTTCTAACTGTCATCTGTTTCTTTCTCACAGGGGAACAAGAAGCTGTGCCCGCAGTGCAACACCATCACCTCACCCGGAGATCTGAGGCGCGTCTACTTGTAAAGAGCACAACCCTTGCCTTTTCATTTTTCCAATTCATTCCTCCATCGTGGATTTCATCTTTTCCCTATCGTCATTTGGTTTTCTCTCTTGTGGACTGGGTTTGAAGMTCTGTGAGGAGGTAGAGACTCACATGGACTTGAAATGACTCTCGTGCTGACTGCCTGGTCATCCACTGAAAAAAAAAGGAGATCTGCAATTTCTAATGGTTAACACGTTTGTTCCACCATGATGCTGATGTCCAAAGAAGGACTTTTAGCCAGTGGAGAGCCTCAAAGCCTAGCTAAGTCCTGCTGACACCTGGTAGCTTCATGATGCTGGAGGGGCACCTGAAAGGAACTTCTGATAACAAACTGAGACCCCTTTTTATTTTCTCCTGCTTCTTTAACATTTCATCAGTGCTGGATGGCAGGCACTACAATAAGGACTTTACGGAAACGTTTACCTTCTTTTATTTTTTTTAACCTTTTTTTTTTTCTGTTGCGGAAAGAAAACTTTGTCCTTCCAGAACTTTTTCCTTGAGGAAATTTTAAAAAGGAACTGATCCGTGAAAATGAAGCTTTCAACCAAACTGAGAACAACCTGTAAACTTTTGAAAATAAGTTTGACACTCTTGTCTCCTCCACTTCTTCACTTCCCTCTTCTCTCTTTTTGTGGTGTTCTAGTGAAGTAAACCAAATTTTCTACCCCTCTTAAGATGCAGTGCAAGCACATGTAATATAGTTCTATGTGTGTTTACAATGTTAGGTGTAAATGACATAGAGTTCACTCAAAAACATTACATCAAACGATACACATTAAAGTATACATTAAAATTMTGTTTTAAGTCGAACGTTAGTTTGGAAATAATGTTTGGGAGAAAAAAAATGACCAGAAAAAAAGAGCCTTCTGTATTTTTTGAGGGGAAAAAAAGAAATTTTGAAGATCTGTTGAAGTTTTGACTGTACRGGAATTTAAGAAAATAAGAAACTACTCAAGACTAGGTGGTTAAGATTTCTGTGGTGTAATTTTTTTCTGCAGGGTATCCTTGAACTGTAGGTCCGAACATGAAAATAAGAACAGATGTTAGTTTTATTGAATGGGGAGCTTCATTTTGCCCAATATTCCCTGAAACTAAGCAGAGTAGTAGAAGGTTTTTTTTTTTAGATTATTATCCAGCTGAGCTTCTGTTAATCACCATTTTTTCCTCTGGATTTGCAAAACATGTTCAGATCATAGTTTATATGCACTTACTTTAATTTTTAACCCCTTCCCAAGTCTCAGAATAATTTTCTTTCTGTTCTCCTACTGCTATGCTGCAAAAGGTCTCCAATGGGCAGCTTCTTTTGAAACTATACTAGATGAGTGAAGGTTCTGTAAAAGAAAGATGCCCGAGGCTGAACTGGCGATCTCCACAACCT